ACTTGAAGTCATTGTATTCGCTTCCCAATATTTATTCCTTTCTACTGTGCAGAAGATGCTCGATGGGACCTTGAAGTTTCCAGTCAAATTCACGGCAGAGGCGAAGAGTGTTACAATTTTTTTTAATCAAACCTCAGACACTGAAAGTGGACAGCGATAGTAAGTTTTGAAATCGTTTTTTTGCCTTCCCTGTCTTGCATATTTACGCACAATATCACATTGAGTCCTAAGAGCTTTCCATCAAGAAAGAGGCACATTCGTCGAGGATTTTTTAAAACGATTTCACTGAAGCGTTTTTAATAATAATATAGTAGGAAAAAAACATTGACACTAAGGAATCATTTAGGAAATTACTCTTTGAGAAATTCAAAACATGAGAAGGACAGAAATACATTAAGACCACAGACATTGTTATAAAACTCGCTTTAACATTTTGCTTTTCGCCTGTTTACAAATGTAGTTTGGGCCGAGGAATTTTTCCACACACAGTAAATTTTGAAAGTGACAGACATACTCCCTATATCAAGAAAAAAATTGAACAAGATATCCGATGACAACTTGAATTACTGCCGATTCTCTAAAGCGTTTCGATGTAATTCTGATTATCACTTGAACTTTATTGTGGTTATGTGAAAAAAAGTAAGAGGAGAGTCACAATAAAGGAACAAAATTCTAAACCATGTAAACTATAAAATTGTTATTATTAATTTCAGCGTCGAAAGGAAATTTGTGAATATAAATACAAGTCAAAGCTAACGGATACGATTTCATTTTGGCTACCTTTGTTTGCAAACTGTGCCATACTCCCCATCTCTAAACTCTACATGTAAATGAATTATGTTAACTTTAGTTATATTGTTCTACCTTGGGGTGTTTTAAAGTAATCGGGGATTAAATTAACTGGATTAAAAGGAAAACTTCTCAAGACGGAAAAAGTTGTGTCGGCTGTTTTCATACTACTACAAAGTAAACAAAAATGTGAAGTGGAAATAATAAAATATTTACTTCGACGTAATTATCTTTTTATTTGCCTATTGCCTGCAACGACGGAGGAGTATGAAATACTGTAATTTAGTGTGAACATTAAAAAGTCCAATTTTAAACCTTTAACTCGCCGAAAATTTACAATGAAACATGCTCTATCAAAAACTAAAATTGCGGCCAGGATTCATAATTAAAAGATATGAGTTTGACAATGGCTTTAAAAATACGTTGAAGCAAAAAGTTCCACCGAAGAACTTCAATCTTTATTGGCTATGTAACAATGATATATAAAATTCCAAAATTATACAAATATGACAGTTGTGTGATAATGAGCGGATGGAAAATTAGCGAAGCAAAGCGTAAATGCCAGGATTGTCTACCACTGAGCTACAGAGAGAATCCTACCAGATAGACAAATTAACTAGGTGCCTTTGTGACACCTTCGCTCATGCATGAACTACTAGGATCAGTTGTTATTGGCTAATGTTTTCGATATTCAGGTTTTTCATCTAAGTAACTATTTATTTTTAAGTTTCATCAGGCTATTCGTATCTCAAGGGTTTCAACTTGCCTGAAGAGGGTTCAATACAAAATAACAGGAGAGTAAAATTCCTTATCAACTTTGAATATTCTTTACACAGCAACGGAATGTAAAACAAATAGCATTAACACGCTCTGAAATCCACATTGTTAGTTTTTCATATACACGATTACATAATTGAAGTCACTGGTGCTTGTGAATATTGTGGTACAATTTAATGAGGTTGTAGTGCATATTAACAGCAATTCCAAGTCCGAAAGTGTGAAATGCATGTTCTGAAAGTGAAGGTAATTAAATATGTGTTTTATTTGAAATCGCATTCTGATGATTGCTCTGTTATCTCCACAAATAGTCTAACAGGAAGCCAAGGAGCGAAGGAAAGATCGATTAAATGTCCCATCCATACCTACAACTTGGAAAATACTATTTTCCAAGTTATAAATGAAAAAGTTTCTAAAGCAGGCTCTCGCCATTGCTTAGTTGCGTAGATGCTAAATGCTTTTGGTACCATTTGCGGAAGAAGCCGTCACCCTTTAAAATAACTTATTTGGTTTGTAGCCAAACATGGTAAAAATTTGATAAAAAATATGTTGTCACTGACTTAAAAATTATTTGAGGACGTTTTGGTTGCTGCTGCAACTTTCATCGGCTACAAAGTTTCACATTTCACATTTCATTCTCAAACATATATAATGTACGTAATAATTACGCTATNATTGGCTAATGTTTTCGATATTCAGGTTTTTCATCAAAGTAACTATTTATTTTTAAGTTTCATCAGGCTATTCGTATCTCAAGGGTTTCAACTTGCCTGAAGAGGGTTCAATACAAAATACCAGGAGAGTAAAATTCATTATCAACTTTGAATATTCTTTACGCAGCAACGGAAAATAAAACAAATAGCATTAACACGCTCTGAAATCCACTTTGTTAGTTTTTCATATTTACGATTACATAATTTAAGTCACTGGTGCTTGTGAATATTGTGGTACAATTTAATGAGGTTGTAGTGCATATTAACAGCAATTCCAAGTCCATAAGTGTGTGAAATGCATGTTCTGAAAGTGAAGGTAATTAAATATATGTTTTATTTGAAATCGTATTCCGATGATTACTCTGTTATCTCCACAAATAGTCCAACAGGAAGCGAAGGAGCGAAGGAAAGATCGATTAAATGTCCCATCCATACCTTCAACTTGGAAAATACTATTTTCCAAGTTAAAAATTAAAAAGTTTCTAAAGCAGGCTCTCGCCATTGCTTAGTTGCGTAGATGCTAAATGCTATTGGTACCATTTGCGAAAGAAGCCGTCACCCTTTAAAATAACTTATTTGGTTTGTAGCCAGACATGGTAAAAATTTGACAAAAAATATGTTGTCACTGACTTAAAAATTATTTGAGGACGTTTTGGTTGCTGCTGCAACCTTCGGCTACGAAGTTTCACATTTCACATTTCATTCTCAAACATATATAATGTACGTAATAATTACGCTATTGCTTTACTCTCGTTTTAAATTGAAAACCTCTTTCCATAGAACCTTCATTAACACATTTATTGTACATTTTTTCCTTTCTTTTTTTATTCACATCAGGCTGTTTACATTTTTTTGGCCGAAGAACGCCGAAACGTCCTCAATTTATTTTAAGCCACTGACAACATATTTCTTATTAATTTTTTTCGTCATCCATTTTACGGTAAAGGTCGTCACCCTTTGTTTTCATGGAACGTTTTCATTGGCCAATATCTTCTAAGTGGCCCAATATAAGTAGAAATTTCTGGCTTTCCAACCCTGAGACGGCTTAAATGTTCCACTCAAGATATGTTAAGAGTTTGTATTGTAAGTATATTTATTCAGCTTCAAGAGGCTTTGTTTAGGAGGTTTCCAAGATCAACAGGACATGACTTTCTGCTCGATATTTGAGGCAATTCTGAGTTTAAATTATGCTGCTTGGTTTTTTGTTGAATTAGCTGTTGCTGATACGAAATACAACATTTAACGCAACGATATCTGTCTTTCCAACAGGAAACTTAAAATCAAGATGAACAACAGCACCGATCCTACTGTGGTTTATTTCGAGGAAGAAAGTGACTCTAAACTACCCATAACCGCAGTGGTAACAGTTCTGTCGTTTCTGTCATTCGGCACTGTAATTGGCAACAGTCTCGTGTTCACGGCTATTCTCATTAACCCTGCACTTCACAGCGTCACCTATTTGTCGGTGTTTAGTTTGGCGATTGCAGACTTTTTGGCTGGAATAATCGCCATGCCAAGCTACATACTGAAAAAGTTCTCGTTGGGAGAATCCGCCGATGTCATCATCTGCGACGTCTTCCGTTTCTCCTACTTTCTCACCGGTTACGCCTCCATTCTGAGCTTGTCTGTCATTAGTGTCGAGCGCCTATTAGCAGTGAAGAGTCCACTAAGATATACCACCATAGTTACACATAAGCGAGTGATTATGGGTTTAACATTGGCGTGGCTCGACGCGATGATTATATCTTCACTTCCCTTCGTCCCATGGGATCCAAACTCTCCTTATAAGGAATGTAATTACGAGCCGACGCGATGGTGGAGTATCATGGTCATTATATCTAACGTTATTTTACCATTTCTACTCATCGCAACGTGCTATACCTACATGTATCTAACCGCCAGGTCACATGTTAAGAAAATATTAAGTAACAGAAACAGCGTAGAAAATGATAAAGCTCGAAAACCGCGGAGACAAAGTAACGAACGTCGAGCCAGCACCACAATACTGATTGTTATCGGGGTGTTCGTAACTTCTTGGTTTCCATCTTGTTTCTATTACTTCTTACAGAAAACGTGTCCGCAATGTTTTTCTGATTCATTCCGATCAAAGCAAAGCATCTTCAATGCCTTGGTCAAAATTCTGACTTTCACGTCGTCCTTTGCCAATCCTATAATATACTG